CAGATCACGTTTATCTCCGATAATTTAAAATTTAAAGTGGATTGATCTATTATAAAAATTAAAAGCAAGATTATTATATTTTAATTTTAAAGCGAGTTATGAATATTTTAAAATTGCAAATTGTTTGTATATTTAAAAATACTGATAACTCGCTTTAAAACTAAAATATAATAAAAAGCCTATGAGATGCCCTAGATAATAACATTGCCTTTAATTTTTATGATAGGTCAAATTCACTTTAAATCTTAAACGGAGATAAATGTGATCTGCTGAGCGTAAAATTTGTAACACTACGCACTTGTACGACGGAGACAACACATGCGGGTGTGGCGTTCTTTTAAAATATATTTGATAGTGTTGCTGATTATCAATAGATTTAAGATTACTAATAGTTTGATTTAAAGTACCTATTTTTTTTTATATCTCTCTCGATAACTTTAAAACTTGCCGAAAGTTTGAAAACTTACTTAAGAGGACGCCACACCCGCATGTGTTGTCTACGTCGTACAAGTGCGTAGCATAGCAAATTTTACGCTCAGCAGATCACGATTATCTCCGTTAATTTAAAATTTAGAGTGAATTGAYTYATTRTAAAAATTAAAGGCAAGATTATTACCGAGGGCATCTCATARGCTTTTTATTATATTTTAATTTTAAACCGAGTTATGAGTATTTTTAGATATAAAAATAATTTACAATTTTAAAATACTCATAACTCAGTTTAAAATTAAAATTAAATAAAAAGCTTATGAGATGCCCTAGATAATAATCTTACCTTTAATTTTTATAATAGGTCAATTCACTCTAAATTTTAAATTAACGGAGCTCAACGTGATCTGCTGAGCGTAAAATTTGCTATGCTATACGCATTTGTACGACGGAGACAACACATGCGGGTGTGGCGTCCTCTTAATACGAATTTATGAAACAAGTAGAAATATATTATATATGTTAGCGGTAATGTGTATAATATATTTAATATATAAAATGCCTAGGAATTCTATATAACACCTGGTGGTTTTTAAAAAAGTGTATAATACATTTTTTTTTACACACATTTCCTAAATATTCTGTATAATAACTAGGCATTTCATAAAATGACAAACAACAAATTGGTAATCTGTAGAGTAGTGAAATAATCCAAAAAAATAAATTTCCTTCTATAATAATAAAGACAATTATTAATTTTATTAGCTCACAAAAAAATATTTATTACAAAGTAGGTATCAATTTAATATTACAGAATATAATGCATAAAAATGAAAAAAAAAAGATAATTTGTAAATTGTATGGGTAGTGTACTAACATGCAGTTATTAATTATTATTACTATTATATTATTCTATAAAATACAAAAATCTATGTATAGAACGTAGGTACTTATTAGGAATAAATACAATATACTTTTTTAAATTTATTTTAAACTTCGTTAAGACAATAGACAAAATAAATGTTAATAATAGGATTCTATTATTACAAAAAAAAAAAAAATATAGGTATTTCATATGTTTAAGTTAATAAAAATTGGTTAAATTTATTTATTGCAACACYGTAAATTAGGATGAYATTTTGAATTGCAATGAATTTTATTTTTTAAACACTTACATCTGTTACTTAACTCAACTTACTATTGAGCTCATACAACATTCTGTCTCKTCCTCCAYGTCCTAACGATTGGTGAGCATCATGTAACACATTAAAAACATCACTTTCTGTTGTATAATGTAAAATATTGTTATCATTATTATTAATAGGATAAATTAGTTTACTATTATTATTAACGACCAAAACATAATATTTTTTAAGTAACCAAGTCACGTTGCTTTTTTTTTGTTAACTACGGTGACAAAGTTATCGCGTTATCTGTCGGCAGTCGGAATTCTACTTCATTAAATTTATCGATATTACAGATTACTAATGGATTTATATTAAGTGAAGGTACATTGTCAAATATCAATAGGTACTGATAATATGGATTTAATATATTACCTATATATTGTTTGGCATTTCATATAATGCTTGGGTAATTTAAAAAATTTTATTCGCTGTAGTTGGTGTGATATAGAATTCCTAGACATTTTATAAAATACCAATATTATACACATTGCTGCTAACATATATAATATTTAGTTTTAACGAACCAAAGTTTTTTTTAAATCATACCACAATATTTTGCTCTTGAATAATACAATAATAATTTACCAAAATAATATTTAAAAATAGAAATTAGAATTTATATATAAGTTATGTTGACAGTGAGACAATTATAACGGAGATTTTATAAAATCCAGTACTTATGTCTGATATTTATTTCCTTATTGATCAAAAACTTGTATTTTATAATGTACCTATTGTATATAATATGTCATTATCAACCAAAAGATAGGAATTTAAGGATTTTATAATAATGGTATAGGAAATACCTACTTGAAAATTTCTTTATGTAGATATTTTAAACTTTCATTTAGATATTACAATATGATATTATAGTATGTTAGATAAAGAAAGTCACTTTTTAGATTTTATTAGTAGGTAGTTTTATTGAGTATATAAGAAAAAACTACATAAATACTGCAAAAGTATTAAAGATTGGTACGATTTCAACACTTACAAATGTTTATTTGAATGCGATAATTTACCATTGCATTCAGACGTATAACAAAAACACACCATTTTATCTTAATAATTCATGCGCTGATGTTATGGCGTTATGATGCTATGTTGCTTTGTATATTATCTTTTGTGGCTTTATAATAATATCTAGATTGTTGCACAGAAAAACAAGAAATCTAGACTCGACACACGTTATGTCTAAGATGTTGTATGTTCCATATCTATGATTCTATGATTACAACATCGAAGAAAGTGTTATGGGTTTTATTTTTTTAAAACAAAATAGTTAATAGACACATATCTAAACCACAGGACATTTACCCGGTAGACATATAATAATAAAAAATGTATTCAATAGATTAGATGAATAATAATTGCATAATTTAATATAAGTAAAACGTATATAGTATGGTATACAAAACAAAATAGTATTTATGTTTTTTATTTATTAGTTATTACCTAAGATGTATTATGCATTGGATGTTTTTTAAATTAACGATGTTATTATTTGAATTTATGTTTTACTTTTAATAAAGATGTAACTGCGTAAAACTATTAAGTATTTTTATTTTTTATAACAATAAGTATTAACAAATTACTTGCAATAAATCAAACATTTAAACCTAAATAAATACTATAGTATTTAATATACGAGTATTATACTATAATCTATCTATAACAAAGTTTTACTGAGTTAGCTAAGTAGTATACAAATATTAATATTATAAACTGTGTGGTAAAAAATAATAATTTATAAAATTATGAAAAAAAGTACAAAAATATAAGTATTGAAACGAAGTATTAATACCATATACCTAAATTATTTCTATGACAATTATTAAGAAATTTAAAATAATAGTTATTTTTTGTTCTCATTACTTGCCGTGTAAAATTAATAAATTATTTATGGTTGTTAGATCTTATTTTAACGATGTATTGTTTAAAAAAACTTCTACTGGTACGACAATTACTTATTGTTAAATACTATTGAATTCCATTTTTAAAGGTTGTTTATCAAGTGGTGTGATACAATTATATGCAATATGCTCGATAAAAGTGTATGACACATATTAATTATTAATTCGTTTGCCACAAGTAGTAGTATGAAATTCAAATATAAAAACCACATATTGCATATTATTTATGTAAGTTATTTGCATATACTTCACAATGGACGGGTTTTAATGTCTTACCTACAAATATTTTGGATTTCGTAACTTGTAATTTGTGGAACTTGTCAGTAAGTATCGACATCTAATATGGTGGTTATCAAAATATCATACCTATAACATGTATTTCATTACATTGTTTTGTGTTCTGATATTATGGTCAAATAATGAAGCCATCAACATTGACAACAATAATTACGATATCAAGATCAATGAAAATTTTTTAAGAAATATTTCTCTTCATTACTGCGATCGTTTAACAGGAACGAATGTTATATTGCTTGCTGAAAAGTCTGCAGAATCGTTCTACAAAGTATTACAAAGGTAATTAATGATGAGACTTACAATTTACAAAATTTCGTTTACTTTTAACTGTCAACAATAACGTTTTCAATATCATATAACTGTTGGCGACTTTGCTATTCATTTTGGTTTACGATATGTGTGATAAATTTATAACCTACTAATGTAATATTTTACTGTTTTATAATAATTTATAAAGGGGGACGAGGTGGCCGAGTGGTCTACCGCGTCGGCTGTGGCTCAGCCGGACCGGGTTCGATCCTCGACCATCGGGCGGCATTTTTCTCCGGGCAATTCACGGTGTCCGGAGAACAAGTGCCGCCATCCCCCACTCCGGGGCATGGTAGAAACCTACGGGTTCCCCAATTGAAATTCTGCCAAAAACTCTCACTCACGTGTAAAACCAACCTACAGTTCCATAAGCACCTACAGTACTACCCCCTTCCCAGTGGCCCTAGTTGCCGCGGGATAAAAAAAAAAAAAAAAAAAATTGATAAGTAATAACCATTACGTAATTATTGTTTGTTTTAGATCGTTTCATTCGACATTTTATGTACACAGTACCTTGGTCGGAAGTGCATCATTAAGTGATTATTACATTATTTTTATCGAAGATGAAACATTTTTTTTTGAAGAAAGCATTTATGACGATAGATTTTGGCATACCACCAAGACCTATTTAATAATCAGTGAAAGAAAATTGAAAACTAGAGTAATATGGYCACACATCCGACGTATTTGGGAAACTTTCAAAGTTTTTAAGATTTCTTTGTTGAATTTAAACAATTTGAAAGTTCTAAGGATATTCGATGACGGGTTTTACAATTACGTTKCAGCTCGTAAATTGAACTACGGCATAAAAAATGTGAAAAAATATCCATTACGAGTAGTTATATTTCCTAGGATTCCGTCCATCATGAAATATAAAGGAGAATGGATAGGACCGGACTGGAACACATTGCAAGCGTTTTCAAAAAGAATGAATTTCGCTCTTAAAATATCTTTTTTTCCTGATCATTCCGGAGCTGCGTTTGGACAAGGGTTTGTTCCTTTGGTATAATAATAATTTACATTGAATACCTAATAAACGATTATAATATATTAATATAATATCATACCTATCCTATAATCTGGGCCGTGGATAGAGAAACCCAAGTCTGGGGGTAAATACTTTGAGGGTCACACTATTTTTAACAACTTTTGTCAGGTAACTGATAAGGGTAGAATTTCTACTGTGTTCATCAAATTCTTATTTTTAATTGTTTCTTAAGTTTAAAAACAAATTAGTGATCCCAAATTTCCGGGCCAGGGAATTCCCACTTTCCTCTCTCCGTATCACTAAGTCTCCCTGTATGAGTGTTTGACTCACGTATATATTATACTGTACGATTTTTTTGTATTTGATAACGGATAATTTACGTCTTAATTAGGTATTATTTTGATCAGTCAAGAAAATTTGCAGTTTATCGTAAAATATGTTGAGTTTAATAGGTTTAAAAACAAATTATAAAATGTCGTTATTACGTGCAATATTGTAGGTTAATAAACGGATCGTACACAGGCGTACTTGCCGAGGTGGTTAACGGCCGAGCAGACGTGGCTTTCAACAGTCGTTTTCTGAACGATCCTATGATCCAAAAGCCGTATCACTACACCAGAACTAACGGTTTGGATTACATATGTTTTATCGTGCCGAAAGCCGAAACGTTGACGAGACTGCAAATACTGTGGATGACTTTCACCGTTGAAGTTTGGCTGTGTGTGGCTGTCACGTATGCGTTGATGATCAAGTCTTTTCAGCTTTTCAACAAATTTAATTTGTCTGGTGAACGAAAAATATCTGATCCGTTTATGACTAGCCTACAGGTAAAAAACAACAGCAAAGAAATTATGTTTGATAATGTTGTTTTATAACACAGTCATGCATAATTTATCATGCTGATTTTATATGTATGTTTCAGATAGTTTTGGGTATGGGCGTTTGTAGTTTGCCAAAACATGTAGCGGGGCGTATTTTATTTGTATTATGTTCAATGGCTTGTTTTGTTATCGTAATTTTATTTCAGGCATCAATGGTGACCAAGTTGAGCACAGAAACTAGTCACAAAGATATCGACACATTGGAGGAACTCGATAAGAGTGGAATGGAAATTCGAACTTCGTTACGTTATGTTCGGGATGCTTTGGCATCAAATTCACATACGAAATCTCTTGCAAATAAAATAGATTTAGAAAAAGATAGAGTAGGTTATATTACATCAAGATTTGTTTTTATCGCAAGAATCATGAATTTAAGTGTCTCAAAGTATTCAAATTTTATTGCCCATTTTCAACACGAAGGTGTTGCATTACACGTAGTCAGGGTAAATTCTACTAATGATTACAGTAGTGTGTGTGTGTTTTTTTAATGTACAATTTATTAAAAATCACAATCAAAATCAAATTTTAATAATTAAATACAACATTAAAGTTTTCATTTCGTGTGTAGACTACAGTCAAACAAAGTATAGAAAGTTCAAATGTCTCTTATTAGGTATTTTACTAAATATTTAAGTAATTAATTATTTATTGGTAAAACCCAATACTTCAATTTTTACAAAATATTTTTTATTAAATTGAAATATCGCAGTTTTTACAGATGATTGAGAGATAGTTAATTTTTTTTGTAGAATTCTTAGGTTTGCTCAGTGATGAGCGCCAATAACCATGTAAATCGTTGCCTTGTATACAAATTAAGGTCTAAAACAGTACTAATATCCATGGTATTTTAAATCGTTCATAATAAACCTAAAGTCATTAAATCTGATATGTATTCAGTTGGTACCTATGAATGAGACGTACTTTTTTTGTTATGAATTAGATGTTTTATCATTCCCCAGTTATATGAAATATATAATGTCAATGCATTAAATGTAAGATTGTTCTTTAAACTTCTTCTTATTGAAATTTTGTCAACAGATATTTAACATTATCATAATATTAATATTATAACTCCTAAACACTATTTTTTTAAATTTAAAATACCTATTGGTTATTATATTATGTTATAACCAAATGGATTTTAGTTACATTTAGACCATTAATTTGTAAGTAGTAATTCTATAGATTGTATAATTTACTTATCTTCAGTTTCATTAATTAATTGGTTATACATTAATTGGTTGTACATTAATTGCTACACGTACATTTTATATTAAAATGTTAATAATTTATTTTTTTCGTATAGGAATGCCCACTAAAATATTATTTGACTTATGCAGTTGCAACTAACTTTCCGTTTTTGGACGAGCTAAATGATCTTCTAACACGTTTTCAAGAATTTGGAATAACTTACAAGTGGAAAACAGAAATTCAAAAGTTAGAACTAGTTTATTATAAGCCATTAAATTCCAACACATCAAAAGGTTTAAAAGCGTATTCATTGAATGATTTATGGTTTGCTTTTGTGTTTTTATTTATTGGCTATATATTGTCAATGATTGCACTGATGTTAGAATTTATTTTCAAAAAATTTAAAACATAAGATCATGGCGTAGATATTTGTTATATCGGTATAATATACACAAATGTACGTAAATGGCATAAATTTAAATTTTAAAGAATACAAGATATTATACGTCATAATATATATTTTAATTTAAAATGCATGGTGACATAATATGTCTGACATGATAATTTTGAGTATAAAATATTTGGACGATTAATGGCATCCAGGGTGACTGATAACATTTGGTAAATAAAAATTCAAAACCGAGTTGTCCATTTTCTTCTATACCAAGGCTCTTTAGATATTATCATTGACTATAAATACTAGTTTTTGTAATCAATGATATTATATAGATTATTGTGTTTTGTCGTCAAGACTGGCTATATCACTGCATTTTTTCACAAAGAGTCTACTTAACTGCGACCGGAATGAATGGACGAACGGACTCTCAAACACATTGGTCGAGTGATTTAATTTTTTTCGCTCTGCTCGTGCCTTGTGATAAAAATTTTCACTTAAAAAGGTTTTTAATTTTAACATCTACTACTTTTTCTACAATTACCTTCGAACAAATTGTATTTTGAATAACTTTTTATTCGAACACACTATATTAAAATGTGACTCACTCTTGTCGGAAAAACCTTTCATGTACAAACGATAACATTCAATTTTCTTGAAATTTAAATTCATAGAGATTTACTGGTATAATATGATTATTTGTTGTATAACTCAAAAAAAAAAATATATATTTATTATTTACGTAAATAGTATATAAGTTACTTTCAATATAATATTACTGTTGATTTTATTATACATGTCCTAGTTTGCACTACTGTCCATACTGCAGTGGTGTATAATTCTGGAATTGTTTTTAACTTATAGGTCATATAAAAATAGGCACTTAGTTGTAATTTACACCTTATGTACCGAGAAGGAAAGTATAAATAGGTATTGAAAAAATCATTGAATATTCGATAAATATAACAATTTATTATTGTCTTGAGTAAAAAAAACAGGTTAATGTCGTTAAAATAAAATTTATTTTTACAAAAAGTGTTACATTTAGCGTGCTGTATCGATACCTACTGAATATAGACTATGTATAGGTAGAATCTCATTAGATTCCAAATTTATATTATTTATTTAAATTAAAATTTAATTTTAGTTGGTGATAAAATGATATGTCATATCTAAATGCTATAAAAGCAACCCACTGTGAAAATATTTGAAATCGTTATCGATATTATTCATAAATTAATTATAAAATATTTTTGATGGCCACTTTCAGACGAAAAAATGTAAAGCAAAAAAGTTTATGCATTTTCATAGTACATCTAAATTTCACACAAGGTACTCAAACCTTAATTAAAGTTAAAAAAAAAATCAATAAAATACAGATAATTCAAAACCTAATACATAAAAAGTCTTAGTTATTACTCATTTATCGCTTTTCGGTGTATTCAGAATAGTATATGAAGAATTAATAAACAGATTGATTAATTATTCACTCACCTAAAAGTGTAATAACTGAACTCAGAAACGTTTGATAAAACACGCACGTAAAACTTACCTATAATTTTAAATAGAAAATGTGATCCACTTACTTATATTACTTTCAATTTTTGTTTTTCATAAAATAATATAAATTTAGTTTTATCCACCATGCATGGTTAAAAAATTAAAAATTAAATTTGAGTACTTATAATGCCTTATATTACAAGTAGGTAATAAATACTTTTCTAATATCACCTTTCGAAATATTTAAAAATGTATTGTTAATTATTGATTACTATATTTTAATAGAAAATAATAATGCAGAAAAAATATATAAAAATGTTGATACATAAATTTTTAATTTGGCCAAAATTGTTATTGCAAACTTTAATTGATATTTAAAGTTTTGAATGTATAAATGGCGGTATAACAATAATTGTACTATTAACATGTTTTTAACCTTCCAAACATTTCTCTCTGCTTGAAGCTGATAAATAAAAAAACAGTGTAGAGCAAGATGGTATACTCANCCCCCCACCCTATGTTATACATTATATGTCAAATGGGTATGAGTAATCACTAATCATAATATGGATGTGTTGAATTTAAATTCAATGATAGTATAATATAATATAATAATAAACAATACAAACAATCATACAATTTTCTAAAAAATGATTTTATTAATATAATAATTGAAGAGCGTTAATACAGAATATTTTTAAGGAGTTTAATATAGGCAATTTTCTTAGTGCAGGTGTGTTTGTATGATTGTCTTAAGTCTAAAAAAAAATAGTGAAATGCTAAGGCACGTCGAACTTGCACGCCTTTGCTACTATTTATAAAATCTCTGAAAACATATATGTATTTAAATTTATCATGAATTTTACATGATAACGATTCTTTAAGTTTTTGTTACTAATTTTTTTAGTTCAATATTGAAATTTCAATTTAAAAAGAGTGAAAAAGAAATTTTAAACAAAATTCATATGAGTTAAAAAAGTGTTTAGAAATTGTATTCACTTATACAGTCAGAGGTTATGATATGTATATTTTAGTAGTTAGCGAAAACATAGTCGAATCAATTTCATTAGGTACTATAGTCAATATTTTGTCAACTTAAACTAATTTTACTGTCCGTTTAAATTTGAGTATACAAGGATGCAGAATATTATAAGTATATTAGGACAAAACGTTTGATAGAACAAACGCCGAAACAATTCTAAAATTTTTCACGTTTTTCACTACATGCATCAAATGATTGGGAGGTTGGCTGGCTCGAAAAACGCTCCCTCCCCTAGTTGTGAATAATAAAGTTCTCAATACTGATTTAAACATTTTGAATCTATTATAAATCAATGTTCGTATCAATGTTCGTAGCGTTATTGCACACGAGTTTAATTATTAATTTTATTTCATCGATATTATTTTGAATTTTAAGCTTATCCGGACTGACTTACTTCTTGTTTTACAATTGATAATATTTAGTGAGAGTAACTATCAATTACTGAAAAAAAAATGTGGTACCGTTAATACTAAATAAAAATATTTGAGAGGATAGAAAATTGATGGTTTTTAAGGAGTTCGAAATGGTTCATTTTAAAATTGCATGCATGTCTTGTAAATGTGTTTACAGACATTAGTGGGTATAAGATTATTAATATAAAAGAAATTGTGGAGCGCTACACATGCGAACGTACAATCTTATAATCTTGGGTGAGTGAACGGTAAACAATGTAATATTCTCATTAGCGTGTACGTATTGTTTATCGACAGTATTTTTGATGGAAAAGATGACGAGATAATACTAATGAAAAATCTTTGTTAAGAGATCGAGATCGAGAAGACCACATATTTTATATTTAATTTAAATTGTAATTAATCAAAATTGAATATTACCCAAATTTTAAATATTCGAACATCGGATAAAATGAATATGAGTTTAACAAAAATCCTTATGGATTTCACGTATGATATGACCAACTAAAATTAGTTTTCAAGTCAATTATATGCCCATAGGTATGATTTATAATAAAAATTGGTATATACAATTTGGTCGAAATAATCGATCGTTTGAAATTCCTTTGATAGTTTGATGTGTATGAATATGATAAACGAGTATAAAACTATTTTAAATTAAGTATATAGATAATATGTAAATACATTTGTGTATTTAAGTTGATAATAATATTCATTAATATATTAAGTTATTTGCATTATTAATGTGCATCGTAAGCAGAAATTATTTATTGAATTAATTGCTCATTTCTGTCTAAATTAAACAGTTGCAATTCTAAAAAAAGCAAAGTTTATTCTATAATTCTGAAATGAAGTTAGCATACGTGAAACATTATTGTATAAAATTACATAGATACATTGTAAATAAATAGTTATTATACATGATAATATTATCAGTGCCGTATAGAGAGGGAAGAGCAACAATATTTTATTGCTAGGGTTAAGGTACACTAAAGGGTATATTAGATTTAATATTTCACGGGTTAGGGGAATGAGCCCTTAAGCCTGTGTAAAGTTTTTGAATTTTTATTTATTTATAAAAAGATATGACAAATAATGTTAAATAAATATCAGAAATATCAATATCATATTATATTATAGAGGTACTCGTATTATATTTATMAAGCCTAATAATATAACTTACTATTCACTAGACATAATTGACATGATGAACTAGAGATGGTTAGACAGGGTAAATGAGGATATTTTAGATACCGACAACTCAAAACGACTGGATGACACAATGGACCGGAATGAATGGAGAAATTTGGTAGAAGCACGTAAAAGACTGTACCTATTTAAGTTATAGTAATGTACTATTTATATTTTGGTATAATTACATATAATTTCGACATTTAGTAGCATCTAAGCATTGACATTATTATTACAGACATCAGTGAATATCATTGCTACGGAAACTTAAAAAGTATATTAAAATAATGTAAGTTAAAAATATTGAAATTAAGCCGATTTAAGCCGATTGAAAATGAAAATGAATTTTTTTTATAAATATTTATTAACGTTATTGAGTACGGGTTGAATAATTAATATTTTTAATTCATTGGTATTATTTTGAATCTAATGTTCATCTGGACTATTTTAATAATGATTGTACAACTGACAGTATTTTGTAAGTAGTATGAATGACCTGGAAAAATAAAACGGTACCGTAAATACAAAATAAAATCATTTAATGCATAATATTAATGCTATGTGTGTTATGCATTAATTAATAAAAAACAATTTTTTAATTAAATGTATACATATGGACATACATTTGAGTATAATTGTAAGTCGACAGCAATCTTAGTTGATATATTAAACTTAAAATTATTTGTGTTATTAATTTGCATCGTACATAATAATAATTTCTTGAACTTAATACTCATTTCTGTCCAATTGCAACTATATAAACCAAAATTTATTGTATCATTCTGAAATTAAGTAACCATACGTTATTGTATTAGAAGACTATGAATTATATGCAATATAATATTGCATGATAAAGTTATAATATAAAATAT